GAGGCACCGTACACGATACTCCCTCTGTTTTTATTTACTCTGCATATTAGAGTTGACTGAAGTCAAACTTCGTAAAGTTTGACCAAGTTTATAGAAAACAATATAAACATTTATCATAATAAAACTATACGATGTGAAAGTACATTCAATAATAAATCTAATGTTGTTGATTTGTTATTGTATATCTTAATATTTTTGTCTATAAACTTGATCAAAGTTTGTAAAGCTTGACTTTGACCAAAGCTAATATGCGAACTAAATAAAAACGGAGGAAGTACAGTGTGCGCTGTGCCTAAACGCTAGTGCTAGGAGATTAGTATGAGTCAAACCCGTGAAAGAAGTGCTGCCAATGCTCAGACCGAAGCACAAATCTCATGAGGGGTGTGGGGAGTCACAGGGGCTATTACACCTTTCCCAAGTGGCTAGCCACCAGCCAAAGTTACAGACTGTAGGAGGTACACCACAAGACCCATATGGACTTCCCGTAATGATGGAGACCATCAATGATAGATTTCGAAGAAACATCATCTTCCTGGTAAACTTCCTCAAATGCCAGATTATATGCACTCTTCAAGTCTTAACAGAGAAACAACCAAACATCCTAGGCCCCCAAGAATGTGTATCGCACTCCATCCTTCGCGAAGCTCCGATCTTCAGATTTTTAGAGTGAAAGTGCTAGTTATCGATTAGAGGGGGGTGAATAGAAAATTTTAAAGATAAATCTTCAAAACAGGCAATGTCGTCGAAGACGTAGATGATAAACAATAACTAAACAGGATACAATGGAAGATAAAGTACACAAGACATGCTGACATAACAACATAATGTAGTGAGAAGTGAAGTCGAACAATAAACTAGGTAGCAAGTAGTGACTATTAATATGAAGACAATGAAATCATCAAAGGGATTCTCTTCACGCAATTTCTTGAAACAGAAAGGCATCGAGCAATGAGTTCACAATATAAAAGCAATAAGTAAAGGAGTGAAGTTATAGAACCATTTGCTCAGAGAAGACAAGTGATTTGTTTGAACAGTTCCAGCTGCTGTGACAACTATATGTCTGGTTAGGGAGGCTGAGATTGAACGCAGAAGACCTGGTTTTCACCTTATTCCCCTTCAGCTAAGGTCACTGAATACCTCGCCCAATCACTCAGGTAAGTCATCAAGGGAGACTTCCAAACCTTCACAAACTTCGTTCAACGGCAATCCACAATGATTCTTGGATGCTCAGAACATGACGCTTCACCGTCTGCAAGATCACACTCTTCAAGTATAACAAGTTTTCGGTTCACTTAGAACAGAATGTCTTCGGTGATGATCAATCACTTTGGACTCTGGGTGTTTGGGTTTTGCTCGCAGGATATCTCTCTCAAAGGCTTCGAAGGTGGGTTGCTCTCAAACGACAAAATTCGTGCAATAACTCAA